GGGGTGTCAGGCCCCGGCCGCGCGGACACGAGGGCGGAAGTGGAGGCTCTTACCCCGAAGGGCGCGCAGCCCACCCGGCGCCACCCGGCGCCCCCTGCCTGTCGTGGGACCCAGCTCCTCTCCCCTGCGGTTGCTGCGATTTCGAAACTCAGGGTTTCAGAGCGAACCTACTTCAGTTCTCCAAAACTTGGAGCGGTGCTTTCCCAGGAGATGAAACTGGGGAGAAGAGTGGAGAAGGGGTCTGGATGCAGCTGGCATTGATAGAGGTCACTGTAGCACAATGACCTGGGAAGTGGGACAGGTCGCCGGAGATCTGGGGCTGGAGAGGAGGCTGAAGTGGCCAGTAGGGCAGAGGCAGATAAGGATCAAGAGGCCCCATTAGACTTAGAAACAAGTAGGTCATTGATAACCCTGGTGTGAGGCACATTTAAAGGTTGGGAGTGGAAGCTGGATTCCAGCGGGGTGAAGCATGGATGGAGCTTTGGGGCAGTGGCGGCAGCGAGTGTTGACAACTCTTTTTAGACACATGGCAGTGGAGGGATGAGATGGTCGTCTTTCACCCACAGACAAGAGAGAAAGCCCAGGAGAACCAGGGGTTAGAGGGTAGAACTTGTACTTCTGGACACTCCCAACGACTGTTTCTTCATCTCTCTTCGATTTGCTTACGGGTCCACCCTTCCCCAACACCCACTGACCTCAGCTCCACTGTGGAGCTAAAGGAAATCCCTTCTCTTTGCCAGTAACTGGTTGAAGCCTGGCATGTGTGATTTTGGATGAGATGCTGGGGGAAGGCTAGGGGTGACAGATGGGGGTGCCATCTCTGAAAACATCCTCCCTCCCCTACTTCTTCCTGTGGCTGTCGCCCATCTCTTGTCTGCCTTTCCTTGCTGCTGCAGATATTTATGGGATACCTACTCTGCTAGGCCCCGGGACAATGAGGAAGGACAATCAGAAAAGCATCTCTGCGCTCATGGAGCACACCTAGGCAGGTGGAGCCCAAACAAACAGGCAAGGGAATATGCCCTGTGTTGGATGCAGTTACATGCTGTGGAGAAAAACTAAGCCTGATGCAAAGTGGTCATAATTTTAAATAGGGTGGTCAAGGCAGGCTTCACTGGGAAAGTCTATTGGAGTAAGAACCTGAGGGAGGTGGAGAGTTAAGTGGACATGTATGGGAAGAGCACTGTAGGTAGAGGGAACAGCAAGTGCAGAGGCCCCAAGGAAGTTCACCTGGCATGTTTGAGGCAGAGCAAGCAAGTGCAGCTGGAGGGAGAAGATAATGGGGAAAGTGTCAGAATGAGAAGTCAGAGGGATAGGGATGGGGCAGATCATGAAAGACTCTTAGCCTTGTCATATCTGGATGTGCCACCTAGAAGTGCGTTCCTATCTTTCTAGCAGCCTGTGAGTGAAGCCCATTTGAAGAATGTCTGAGCAAAGAGAGGGGAGGAGCCTGGGTTCCTAATGACATTGTTGAGCACCTGAATCAATTGACCCTGGAGCTCATTTCTTAATGTTTAAGTTCCTTGAAGTTGGAGTTTGTTTCCCTCCTTCAGAGGCAGCCTAACAGAGATCATGATCTCCCCAGAACCTAGTCATTTCCCCCTCCAGGGTTTATAGGAGTAGGCTTCTTGATAATGTAGCACTTCCAGTTCTTATAAAGATCAGATTTTGCTTATTTTTATTTCAGTGCTTTGTGCCAATCCCTCCCCTACCCCCACTCCCGTGAATTTAAGACTGCTTTCAGAAGTAACAGGAAAACTGGTTAACACTGTGGACTATTCAGTGGTGTGGAGTGGGAGGTCACAGGGATGGTTTGGTAACTCAGTGATTTTTGGAAGGGTTCATGCTCTCACCATCCCTCTGCACAGTTATCCTCAGATGCTCGGCTTTTTCTCCACAGACTCGTTGCTTCATGGTAATAGAATGGCTGCCACAGCTCCAGACATCATATCTTCATATACGGCAACCAAAGGCAGGTAGCAGGGAGTAGGTTGCCAGGGTGGCAAGAGAGCTCTATTTCATACAACATATTTTCTTCTGGGAAAAAAATCTTTTCTAGAATCTCTTTCCCCTAACCCTTCTCCCCACCAGACCTTCCCTTATTACGCATTGGCCAGAACTAGGTAACATTGGCAACACTTAGCTGCAAAGGAGGCTGAAAAAGCAAACATCTGCCTTTTTTCAGCCTCTGTAGTGGTAGATTGGTCTATGAGTTAGGATTAAGTTTGACTACATAAAGCAAAAAAAAACCAAACAAACAAACAAAAAAAAACATTGGCTTAAACGAAAGAAAAACTATTTGTAACACAAAAGAAGTTGGGTTGGGGGTAGTAGGCAATCTGTGGTTGGTATTTCCAGGTCCATGAAGTTGTTTGGGGTCCAGGCTTTTTCCAGATCCTTGCTCCCACATCCTGAGTGTGTGCCCCCTGTCCTAGGAGTCCAAGATGAGCTCTGGCCATCAGCTATGGACTTCCTAGAAGTCCCACAGTGCATTTCTGTTTATATTTCATTGGCAAGAACTTAGTCATATTTTTAGTTGCAAAGGAGGCTGGGAAATGAAGCCTTTATTCAGGGAAGCCATGTGCTAGAATAGAAATCAGGATTTTGTTGCTGTGGAAGAAGATTATGTCTTATGTGGGGTGTCCCAGAAGCAGGCCCTTCTTAAACTGTATGCAAGCAGTTTAAGAAGGAAACTCTCCCAGGAGAAACCAGTAAGAACATAGAAGGTGGGTAGCAAGCAAGGATCTCAGACAGAGTTACAAGAAAGGTATCTTCACCAGATCTGAAGGGGAGCTTTGGAATGTAAATTGTGCCCTAGAGTTGTCCACATCCCCAGCAGGGGATCTGTGCTTCCATACTTCTCTGTCAGTCATTGGCTAAGGGTCACCCTGGGTCACAAAGCCCAGGATCATCAGACTCTCTCTATGTGGGTAGAAAGAGGCAGTACCACAAAGACAGCCCTCCTGAAAAGAATGGCAGGTACCTCAGGTTGGAAACCAAAACATGCCAAGTGGTAGGGGCAGAATTCATGAAAGGGATCCTATAAATCCAGGCAGAACCCCAGCAGAGTTGCTGCAGGGAAAGTAGACAGTGGCAGGCAAGTAGCAATCTCCTTCACAGGCTAGAAAGGGGAGGGGTGGGAATGGCTGACAGCAGCATTAGTACTGGGAGGTGGTGAAAATCCTGGAAATTATAAACAGGAGGAAAGACAGACACAGAAAAGACCAGGGGAACAAGTGCTGTGTGAGCACGGAGAACCCTTCCAAGGTCAGTTGTTTTTAACAGCTATAATAACTAAAATTGGGACAGTGATATTGATCAGGAACACCCATTAAAAATTTTTTAAATTATAGCATTCCTTTTATAAACAGATTTTCTGGTACACAGGAGAATCTTTCCTTTGCTGAGAATTGTCTGTTTATGTCTCGTCCATTTATCTGTGGGGTGGTTGGATTTCTAACTGATTTGTAAAAATTCTTTAAATACCAGGGAAATCAGGCTTTGGTTTGTCATGAGTATCACTAATATTTTTTTTCCCAGATTATATCCAGTGTTTGTGGGCGTGGACTGTACCACTTTGCCAGATACATGTGCATGGGTGATATTGTTAACTGCACACCCTATTCTCCAAAGGCCTGTTTTCTTGGATCACGTGTACCACCTCCCACCCCAGTCTTTCCTCTTTGGGGTCATCCAAAGACTTCTCCTTATGGTAGGAAGGAAGGTCATAGCAGAGTCTGGCCACCAAGCAGAAGTAGATGTGTCCCACCAACTGTGTCCCATGTGTTATGTTTCGTAGTTCCTTAGTCATTGTGCAGGTTATCGTGAGCAATTTTATATAACGTGTTTTGTTTGAGAAACAATGGTATAAAAAAACCATAATGAATTTTAATCATATAAAAAGATATTCCGTGTAGAGGATAAGAGAGTAAACTGATACAACTTCTATGTTGGGCTAATTGCAGTGTCTGTCAAAACTAACAATGCCCATACCTTCTGACCTGGCAACTGTACCTCTAGGGTTTACAATAATGATAAATTCATACATGTACATGAAGAAATATATATATGGGAATGTTTATCTCTTCATTTAGATTGTACACTCTTCGAATGCCTACCTCATTTTCCACCCTCTGTCCCTAGAACAGTGCCTGGCACACTATAGGCACCAATACATATTTGGGGGGAAAGAATGAAGAGTAAAAGGCTGGAAGAAACGCTAAGTTCCATGGCCAAATAGTTATGTTACCTCCATCTTGTGGGATATTGTGCAGCCATTAAGAAGGAGGGAGATCCGGCTTGTGGACACCTAATCCTCTCTTAGGTACAATGCTCTTGATGGATGGCAAGGTTTAGTAGAGGGCAAATTGTGTGCTACAGTTTGTTTAAAAAGAAGCAAATACACATAAGCCTACATATGTAAATATGGAAATATGCAAAGATGTCTCTGAAAATGTTTATAAGCTATTAGTAATAATGGGATGGGAGATGGGTATGAGAGAAACTTTTCACCATGTACTCTTTGGTGGTAGTTGATTTTTTTGTAATGTGTGTTATCCATTCTAAATAACTAAATAAATGAAATGCTCTATGAATGCACTTCAAATCAGTTTCTTTGGTGGAGGAAGGTCCACCATTTCCTCAGGGACTTTACAGTTCTATCATTCAGCATAGCCAGGGCAAGCCTACCCTCAGACTTATTTGCCATATAGTTCAGGCTTGTCTTCCTTCCTCTGAGCTTCATTTTTCCACGTTCTTCTTTTGCCTCAGGCCCAGTTACGTTTCCCCCCCGCCCCGCATTAGAATGTCCAGGAAAGCAGTTGATGAGCTAATTTATACTGTGGTGTCAATGACTGCCATGGCTCACTGTATTGCTTCTCTCAGAAGTATTATCATTTTAATAGGGACAAAGTCTTGAGCGTAGAGACCTAGGTTCTGATTTAACAGCTTTCAGGCATTGGCAACTGCTCATGTGCTAAGCAGAGGCATTCAGGAGCCCCAAGCATCCACACCTGCCCCGTCCCATCTCTTTGAGTAATAAGTGGCCAGAGAGCTCAGTGGGAGGGTTTTGAAAGGCGTTAACTATATATTTCCCTCCTCCAGGAAGAAGGAGCTGGGATGTGTCTTCCCTGGAAATGGCCACAGAGGCTTGCTGCTTGTTAGAGGCCAGAAAGGACTGGTCATGAGGGGACTGGCCTGCGGTGTGTGGAGAAAGACATGGTGACTCTGCCGTCATGGCTATCCCCAGCTTTCCTGGCTCATGGAGAGCGTGGTTGAGGACTCAGGAGCCAGTTTCATGAGCTGTAGGACCATGTTCCCTAGCCAAGCCCTGAGGCTACACCAAGAACAGGTGAGGTCCCATTGCCGAGCCTTTGAGAGGAACCCTGTGGTCCCAGAAACGGTTGGTGCCATCTTGCCCCCCTAGGAGAGTGGGCTTGGGGATGATGGCAGAGATGAGGCATGGAAAGAAGGCAGTTCCTTGGGGGTCTTACTGACCTGCCGGCTCGTGAACTACCTGAAGCTTGCTCTATCTAGACTTTGGTTATAAGAATCAATAAGACAACTTTCTTGTTTAAGCCAACTTACGCATAATTTTGTTATATCAGTTGAAAAATTCCTAACGGATTTCTGAGGCAGGTACTACTGGCAGGAACCAAAGAGATATAAGGCTGTCCCATGGCGGGGTCTGCCTGTGCCCAAACTGGGAAAACCTCAGATGTCTCTACCTTGAGAAGACCACATTGGCAGATTCCACCAACTTTGGGCTGAACCAGCTGGTGAAGGGGCGCCCTCCGCCAACAACTCCCAACCATTGCTACAGAACCGAGGCAACCACAGGGTCCAGGCCAGGCCATGAGTCCATATGAGAAGTGACTGCTCTCAGGCTAGATAGCTGTCAGCTGTACTCTCGGGATCTTTAAAAAAAAGCAGGGTCAAAGGGAGGAGGAGTGCAAAAAAGACCCTGTGAGAAGAGCAGGAATCCCTAAGATAGACTGGAACGTGGCCATAGCTCAGAGTCAGATCCAGGGGAGATGACAGCGTCATGGGAGTGGATCTTGCAAAAGGCCTGGGTACCCCTTATTGAAGAATTTAAGTCTCTCCCACCATCGCCCCGTGGACACACACCTTTGCCTCTGGTCTCACGAGTACAAGCACTCCTGTGGGGGATTGGAAAACAAGGTCGATGTCAGTTATTAGAAGAGGTGAAAACATCTGCTATTTTTATGTGAGATCACAGGATGAAATACAACAACTCCTTTCTCGGTACTGATGCTTACAGACTTTCTCTGGAAGGATAAACTGCTACCAGTGGTTGGCTCTGGGGAGGAAGCTGGGGCTGGGAGGAGCTCACTCTAACTGTAAGTCTTTGGTTCTTTTTTTTTTATTATCATTGGCAGGTAGCACAGAGACTCAGAGCCTGGACTTAGAGCCAGGCTGCTTGGTTCAAAGTACAGCTCCACTAGTGTGAGCCAAGGCAAATTACACACACAAACACACACACTCAAGACCCAGCGCTTGGAGCTTTCAGCACCATGCCTACGCCCCACCAGATTCTCAACTGCAAGGCAAAGGCTGAAGGGCCAAGGACCCTAGAATGTAGGTCCGGGCAGCGGTGGGACCACTAATGACAGCTTTCTGAGTCTGTGAGGTTAAAGAGAGAGCAATTCTAGCTTGAGTTCAGTGAGACTGAATTCTTTGTGGTGCAGAACTAGAGACAAGGGTCTTTATAAAAGAGACGTGATGGGAAACAGTGGTCGCATTTATTCCTGTTACCAAGGAGAGATTTCATACAACAGTTTAGGTGTATAGACTGACAGGGATGTTTTTGAAAGCCTCAAAAATAAAGTAAATAAGGTAACCAGCACCATCCAATGAAACTTTCCGTTGAAAATGTTCTATATCTGCACAATCTG